ATACTTTGTGTCTGACTCTCATGACCACAGATGTAATACATCGTCTTAATCTGTCCCTCGTGAGTTCATTCCATAAACTAACCCTGACTTCATTGGAGATCCAGGGGGAGAAAGAAAAGATTTAAAACTTCCCTACCTACCTGGTGGAGGTCATAAGTCTAGGTCTATTTTGTCTTGACTCTATCCCTTAGGAGAGGTTCTTCAGTGGGTTTCTCATTTCCATGTGTCGAGCAACTCAAGTCCACATTGTCCTGTCCTCCCAGTATTGGACTTTCTTGGAAAGGAACAGTTCCAATTTACTCACTATTCTCTCAACCACAATGTTAGGTATGAGGTTGAAGCAATGGAATAGGATAGTGTCGGTTTTTTACTCTATTTAATGATGCCACTATAGTGGAAATTCTTTACCAAACAGAAAAAAATTGTATCTACCATTCTCTCTCTCTCTCTCTCTCTCTCTCTCTCTCTCTCTCTCTCTCTCTCTCTCAGAGAAACTCCATGAGCTCAGGTTGTTCAAGGTCTTGTATAGGCAAGGGTTCTTCTAGTCTTGGTTTTTGCCATTTTTCAATCATGGTTTTTCTTGTATCCTGGACGTCAGTGGGGAGGAGCAGCAAAAGGAGCTGATAAAACTAGATGCTGAATACAGGGAGATACTAAGGTGGCCAGGGGTTAAACCTATCCAGGGAAAAGAAGACATGTACAGACTCTGCCCTTTCCAGGAGCCTTCCAACAGCTTAAAGTCCTCTGGGAACTGACTTCATTCAGGGTGTTTCTTCCTTCGGAGAGACTCTTATCTCCTAAAATAGAAACATAAGACTTTGCTCCAACAGTTTCCAAAATCATCTGCATTCTTAAGAAGGAGGTCTAAATATCCTTCTGTCTCTTCGATGAGGTGTTTTGCTAAGATCAAGAGCATTCTCTCTTGATGAATCCAAATCCTGAACATAAAATTCTACTGAGTGTTCAAAAAACCACAGAGCTTATCTGGCTGGGTTGTTAGAGACAGTCTGGTTGTTGTCTAGTTGCCTGATTTAATAAGGGAGAGAGAGATGGAAGGAAGGCTAGTGCCTAGCTTTTAGAAAAACAAGCACACCTCTAGTGTTGGAAGTGCAGCTGTTGCCATGGTACCCAGCCAGCCAAAGCTCAGATGCTGCCGAGGTTCCACAGAGACCATGGCTTCAGAGATGAGGGCAGTCAAAAGATGCAGCCACTAATTATGTCTTAAAGCAACACGAAACCCCCTCTGACATGGCACCGAGGATGCCGTGCTCTGGGGTAGGCTTTTGATAAGAACAGATCTGCGGTGGCTAAATTCCATGTTTGCTCTCCAGAGAGGTCATGTCTGGGGCAACAAGCCTAGCTTATGGGACACTGAGTGTCTTTCTCCTTTGGTTGTCCCTGCGATGTACACTGTAAATTCTACCAACCCCTCAGCGTTCCTTAACTTCCAGCCCATTGGGGCATGGCCTTGTGTTTTCAATTCACAATCTTTGTGTTTGCTTGTTTAACTCCACCATTTAACAGATAAGGGAATGCGTGTAGTGTGTATTATATTTTCCAATCCTACATGGCTAGCAAACGAGAAAGCCAGAATCAGAACCCAGGATTACCTGATTCTGAAAAAAACAATTCCAGGCCTTTCCTCAGCAATCTGCATTGCTTTCCCTGCGTGAATGAAAATTAAGTCCTGGGCCAACTAAAAAGGGATTTTTGGTTGTAAATAACAACTACAGTAAAGACAAAGAGTATTTTAGACTTTAAAGAAATTAAACCTTGCCCTAGACAGTTGCAAACTGATTAAAAATCAGCCTACAGCCAGGTCCTTTGGTATCTCTGCAGTTCTTATGACACCACAGACAGCTATGAAAATATAAATATCAGATCTGTCTGAGCATGCCCAAGCCAGCTCCGTGGTCACGTGCATATTCAAGGAGTCTGTCATCTCTTCTCATTCTTCCCTTACACATACACACACCATTCACCACTGGTAGCTTTCTATTGTTTTCTTTTCTTTCCTTTTAAAGATCAATTAATCTCTTCACTTGCCTCCTTTTAACAGCCTAGCTCAGTCTTGTGATGGTCCATGCCTCACTCTACAAAGGTTGAGACTTTAGATGAGAGTCACCACGTGAGCCCACTTGACTCCCTGTAGTCTCACTGGCAGAACCAGGTTCTCAGTCTAGTTTACCTGGGAGCAAGCCTGGTGTTTCTGAGCCTCTGAAGCAGTTGAAAAGTAGGAGAGTGTGGGGGTCCTCCTTCCATCTCTGCCTGTCAGCCATCAGTCCAAAACGGGAAAGAGGCAGAAGAGTAACAGACAGTTTTGTATACAGCCCATGAGCATGTACACTCCAGGAGACAGACTTCTGTGAATCAGCTCAACTTCATTCCAGAGTATAAGGAATATATAGGAATGGGGAGCCTGGGGACAAACCCTAATTTGCATTATGTGTCACACCCCTGTGACAGGACTTCGTATGTGGCAGTAGGGTCCTATAGCAGAGCTCTTAGCACAAGTCTTCTTAGCAGGGATCTGTGTCAAGGGTTGGGCTAAAGATGAATCAGACATCTGTTTTTAGGTAATGATGGGAGATGTCCTTCTGCATGCTGTGAATGTATGTTTTTCTTACTAGTTGATGAATAAAGCTCTTTCAGCCAATGGACAGGCAGGATTTAGCCAGGTGGGGAAATCCAAGCAGGGATAGAGAAAGGTAGTCGACAGAATCAGGGAGAAGCCATGTAGCTGCCGAGGAAGCAAGAGACCCAGTCATCGCCAGTAAGCCGAGACCACGTGGAGATACACAGATTAACAGAAATGGGTTAATAATTAACAGAGAGCTAGCCAATAAGAAGCCTGAGTGATGAGGGAAGTCCTTCCGTGGATATGTTAATAAAGTGCTATTGGCCAATAGGGAAACAAGATAGGTGGGACTAGGAGAGGTGAAGGATTCTGGGAAATGGAGGCACAGTCAGTCACAATGTAGGATGCCAGAGGAGTAAGAGGTCTGGACCCTTTCTCCGGTAAGAGAAGACCATGTGGAAATACTTAGATTAGCAGTTATGGGTTAATGGTTAAGCCAGAGCTAGCCAACAAGAAACCATAGCAAACAACCCACAGCTTCATAATTAATATAGTGTCTCGTGTGTTATTTGGGGACTAAAGCGGCAACGGGACCCAGGTGGCTGGCGGAAAGACTATACGTTACACCTGAGCAATAGGCCAAACAGTTTATAATTAGTATAAGCCTTTGTGTATTTATTCGGGACTAAATGGCTGCAGAATCGGGCAGGACAGAAGCCATCCATCTGCAGATAAGGTCAGTCCTTCAGGTCCAGGGACATTCTCCAGATAAGGGCAGGGAGAGCACAGGAAGCTTTGCTGCATAGGGAGGGAGTTTCCATACTGCCTGTCTTAGGCAGAAAGCTGCTAGCTCCAACCAGCCAGCAATGTATTCCAACAGAAGAGGAGAAACAGGAACAAACAGCCAGCACAAAGCCACGCCCTCTTGTCCCCAGCTTCCTGGAGAACCACCCCTTTACATCAGCTCCCTGGCTCTGTGAGCGTAATCTTTTCCAGCATGGCTTTAAAAGCCTCCCACCTGATGCCTTGTCCATGATCTATCCCAGTGGTAGAACGATGTGACTGAATCCCAAATTGTCTTATTCATACCCTGAAGCTTTTTGCATCGCAAGACTGAACTAACCATCCATGCAGTTAATACACAGGCATTCTTACAAACTGCTGTTTAAATCTTCTGTCCTATGTGTAATTGGAAAATACTCCCAACAAAAAAACACAGCAGAAGAACCTGCTGCGGTTTGAGTGTCACTCAAAGTCCTGTGCGTTAAGGCTTGGGCCTGACCTGCCGCTGTTGGAAGCTGAAGTCTTTTAAGAGGTGGGACCTAGGGGCTGGAGGACGGCTCCTTGGAGAACTGCACCAGCTACTTTTCTGGAAGACCTGGGTTAAGTTCCCAGCGTCCACATGGCAGCTTGCGACCATATGTGATTCCAGTTCCATGTAATCCTACATTCTCTTCCAGCCTCTGTGGGCATGCAAGTGGTACACATATGTGCATGTAAGCAAAAATTCATACACATAAAATAAGAAAATAAATCTAATGGTCCCTGGCCATGGGGTGACGGCTTCGCTCTGATGCATGGGGTTAGTCATGATACGCTGCTTTGCCACAGGCCCAAAACAGCGGGTCTACTGGCTATGAACTGAAACCTCCAAAAGACGCCGACTCCCTTATCTTTTTTTTCCTCCTTCCTTTATTCCTACTATCCTTGTTCCAACTGAACATAGGCCATTTCATGTGAACTTTTCACAACATCTCTGTCGGACAGTTGGCACTTCTGTGACAAAATACCCAAGAAAACAAGGAAGGGGGCTTTATTTCGACTTGTGATTTGGAGGATGGCACCATACTCCAGCAAAACTGCTTACTTCCACAGCTACTAAGAACCAAGAGGCCAAACGGAGAGGACAGAGAGGGTACTGCTTCCTCCAACTTGGTCTTGCATCTAGAAGTTTCCATCACCATCAAATCCCGAATCCATCAGTGGTGAAAGCACTGATCAGGTCAGAGCTACCATGTTCCGGCCGTGCCTCAGTGGTCAGATGTGTCATCTGGGGACAAAGCCTTCAACACATGAGTCTTTTCATATTCAAACAAAACGTGATGCAAATCCCAAACATACTTGAAATTCTGTCTGGAAGAATGAATAAACATCACGCACGTGCACACGTGTGCGCGCAGACACACACACACACACACACACACACACACACACACACTCACTCACACACCTAAAATCAAAGAAAAGATTTTAAACCACCTGCATATTTTATGACCTGACTACATAGGGATATAGAGGGTTTTTTTTTTCTCTTTTTTTAATGTTGTGTTTTGATGTTGCTACCGGTTTTCAGGTGCATTGGGATATTTTATACTTAACACATCACAAAAGCCCATACTCAGACAACTCCATTGGAGAAGCCTTGGAACTTGACGATTTATTGTTTTAGCCACAAGCAAGTTGCAGTCGTATACCAATAAAAAACGTACACACAGCCCCTCTGCCGTACAAATGTAGGAAGGAGCTCACGCTGTTCTGTGGAGTGGAGCCCCTGGAGCGGTCCTCATGGTGGCTGTTCCGAGAAGCAGCAGGTGGCACACCAGTTAGCCTGAGAGCTAGCTGCCCGAACCCTGTGCACACAGTGATAAGACAGTCTGTCCACCTTCTCCTGAGCACAGTGTGACGCCTAGAAATCGTTGCCATGCCCACCCAAAGCCCCACAACTGCATCCTGAGCACAGCAATGCCTTCTGGCTTTTGTGAAGTGTGCCTTGGCTTTTATTTTTTTAAGTGTCCAAAAGGAAGTCAACCCTGGTGCCCCAACTCCCACTCCGATGCCCCAACCCTGGTATCAGATAGGTGAACAGAGGTCTTGGAGAGAGACAAAGTGCCGGTCAAAGGCTGCGCAGGACTCAGGGACTAGAGAAGGTACACAGTAGATTGCAAAGGGAAAATGCAGTCTATTCTTTTATGATAAAGGGGAAAAATGAAATAAAACACAACGCCGCTTTGCAGGAAGTCAGTCAGTAGGGAATCAGGTTCGGGAGGGATTCCGGTAGAATTTTGATTCTGATTTTCATTCATTCTATTCATTGATCAAACATATAGCGTGTATTTACTGGGCCCTCTGGCTCCATGCCTGTGGAATTGAGAGAAGGACAGACATGGTCCTTGCCCTCAGGAAGTTTACAACACCGAGCATAAAGTGTATATGTTAGAAAAATAATACACAAATCGGTGTATAGTTTGAACCACGATTAGTATTACAAAGGAGAAACACAGAGCAGCAGAAGAGTGGGCAGGGATAGGGATGGCCATCCCTAGACTGAGGATTCCAACTGTGTCTCTGGTGAAATGATGTTTAGGTCCTTGACGAATGAGCAGTCATCCCATCTGAAAAGCAGACAGGTATTCCAGGCAGGGGACTACACAAAGAAAGACCAGCCTGATGGACCTCAGCTGGGATTCCTCTTTCCAGATGATTCTACGGGTATCAAGCTGTCAAAAGCAAAGACAAATGACAACAACAACAACAACAAAATAACAACAGCAAAATCCTATCCAGCAAACGTCGGACTTTCTCACTCACCCTCCCTTCTGCCAACCTCCACTACTGAGCATTTTCTTGGACCCTAACACAAAGGTTTTGCTTTCTTCCTCCTTTTCCCCTCCTCCCTTCAGCAGCTGCCCAGGTTTTCAGTGTGCTCACCTCCGTGTCTCTCTTTCAAACTCCAATAAAACTATCCTTGAGCTTCCTTCTGAGCCCATGTGTAAATTGTCTTGTCAACAGGACTAAGAAACAAATGAGAACTCCAGTATCCTAGTGAGGGATTGATGGGGAAGTCCGGTGTATATGTCAATAAAGCACTGTTGGCCAATAGGGAAGCAAGATAGGTGGGACTAGGAGTCTAGGAGGATTCTGGGAAATGTAGTGAAGGGAGCCTTCCCCATGTGATTCCCGGGAAGAGGGGATGCGAGTCTGCGTTCGTAGTAAGATAAGATCTTATAAAAATATATATATTAGTAATTATGGGTCAATAGTTAAGTCAGAGATAGCCAATGAGAAACTACAGCAAATGGTCAACAGCTTCATAATTAATATAGCGTCCTGTGTGTTCATTTGGGACTGACCTGGCTCTGGAACCAAGGGGGGGAAGGGGGAGACTACACGTTACAAGGGTTACTATTTCTGTGACTTAACATGAGGTCCAAAAGCAACTGGGGGAAGGAAAGGGTTTATTTTGCTCACAGTTCCATATAACACACAGTCCATCGTCAAAAGCAGTGAGGGCAGGAACCTGGAGGCAGGAGCAGATTCGAGGTCATGGAGTTGGGCAGCTCACTGGTTTGCTCTTCATGGCCTGCTCAGCCTGCTTTCTTAGAGAACCCAGGACCACCAGCCCAGGAGTGGCACCACCCACAATGGTCTGGGCCCTCCCCCATCAATCACTAATTACGAAAATTCCCTACAGCTAGATCTTACAGAGGAGGCATTTCCTCAAATGAGGCTCCCTCCTCTCTGATGAGTCTAGCTTGTGCCAAATTGACATGAAACTCACCAGCACAACAAGTTTCCCCCGGGGACCGTATGACCAAGAATAAGGCCAAAGAAGTTTTTTGAGACTCAAAACACATTGACAAACTATGACCCTTTGACACGCTGAGAATCAAGGAAACCAGAAGCCTTCGAGCTGCCCGAGAAGCAAAGTTTCTTTAGCCTTCCCAGCTCCTCTTTCAAGCATGGCCACTGGGGGTGGGGGGTGGGCTTCCTCTGCAGTTCCCTTATTTGATAGAAGAAGGAGATTCCAAGATAAATGCAAGTGTTAGACTCTTTCTTTAAAACCTCATTAGCAGGGTTAACTCAAAACAAATAAACAAGCAGTGTGTGGGGGGGGCTCTACCATAACTCACACCCTCCTTCCTCATGGAGAAGTCTTGACTCCAGGTCACATTGCTGAAATACCACCTCTTAAAATAGGAGGCAAGTTCCCAGAAAACAGACCTGCAGCTTATCTGCCTAGTCTAGGGCGTAGGCTTGTACCACAGAAGGTAGAATGTGAAAGATAAAGTTAGAACCTGCAGTTAGGTTACCAGAGGACACAGGATGCCCTATCCCTCCCACTGACCTTTGCTCCACCAGGCTCATTGCAGCGGCAGTACACGCCCATTCCTTCCCCTATATTCATCCCTTTTGGGGTGAAATAAAGGCTGTCGCCTTGGTCAGACTCCTGTCTTGGTGTCCATTCTTCTGTATCTCCTGTCCTCATCTTTCTCCTAGGTACCCTCCAGCCCCCACGTTGGATGTCCCACAGGTTGGGGCAACAAACATATAAATAAATAAATAAATAAATAAATAAATAAATAAATAAATAAATAAACAAAGCCAGAAGGTCTCTCCCTATCTATAATGATGCAACCTATTCGGCTGAAGATGCTACAGAAAGACCTTGTCTTAATAATTTTTTTATTGCTGTGACAAAACGTCATGACCAAGGCAACTTATGAAAGAAAACATTAAATTAGGTCTCGTGGTTGCAGAGGGTGTAGTCCATGACCATAATAGCCGAGATAGGTAGCAGGCACGCAGGCGTGAGTCTAGAGCTTATAGCCTAAGACAACCACAAGGGGGAGACAGAGAGAGGGAGGATGGGAGACAGAGAGACAGGGAGGGAGGCAGGGAAGGAGGGAAGGAGGGATGGAGGGTTAACTGGGAATGGCTTGGGTTTTAAGATTTCAAAGCCCCCCTCAATGACACACCTCCTCCAAGACCACACCCCCTAATCCTTTCCAAACAGTTCCACCAGTTGGGGACAAAATATCAGACCATTCATTGACTCCAAAACTCATTTACTACCCCTTCTAAAAGTGTCCACAGGCCTTTCCTGGGATGGTTTGCTCTGTCTGATAAAGCAGGTAGGACAGAAAAACAGGAGGAAATAGGTGGTGTCCTGACCAGTATACGTCAGTAACACAGGCAGAAACCTTTTTCTGTCATTTAAATTAGAAACAAGCTTGCTTCACATGTCAATCCCAGCTCCCTCTCCCTCCCCTCCTCCCCCCTCCCCCTTCAACCTTCCCAACCCCCCCAACCAATGCCCACTTTGCTCCCCCAGGAGGGTAAGGCCCTCCATGGGGGATCTCCAGAGTCTGTCATATCATTTGGAGCAGGGCCTAGACCCTCCCTCGTGTGTCTAGGCTGACAGAGTATCCTTTCATAGAGAATAGGCTCCCAAAGTCCATTCATGTACCAGGGAAAAATACTGATGCACTACCAGAGGCCCCATAGATTGCCCAATCCTCCTCGCTGACATCCACGTTCAGGAGGTCTGGATCAGTCCTATGCTGGTTCCCCAGCTATCAGTCTGGGGTCCAAGAGCTCCCTCTTATTCAGCTCAGCTGTTTCTGTGGGTTTCCCCAGCCTGGTATATTGTGACAGCATTTTTATGGGGATTGCATTGAATCTGTAGATCGCTTTTGGCAAGATTGCCATTTTTACTATGTTGATCCTACCTATCCAAGAGCATGGGAGATCTTTCCACTTTCTGTTATCTTCTTTAATTTCTTTCTTTAAAGCCTCAAAGTTCTTGCTATACAGGTCTTTCACTTGTTACCTCAAGATACTTTATGTTGTTTGTGGCTATTGTAAAGGGTGATGTGTCTCTGATTTATTTCTCAACCCATTTATCATCTGTATATAGTAGGGCTATTGATTTTTTTTTTTAGTTAATCTTGAATCCTGCCACTTTTCTGAAGGTGTTTATCAGATGTAAGAGTTCCCTGGTAGAGTTTTTTGGGTGACTTATGTAAACTATCATATCATCTGCAAATAGTGAAAGTTTGACTTCTTCCTTTCCATTTGCTTATCTGTTCTTGTTTTAATTTTGGTAAGTGATATCTATCCAGGAAATTGTCCATTTCCTTTAAATTTTCGAATTTTGTGGAGTACAGGTTTTCAAAGTACGACCTGAATATTCTTTGGATTTCCTCAGTGTCTGTTGTTCTGTCCACCTTTTCGTTTTGATTTTGTTAATTTGCATGTTCTCTCTCTGCCTTTTGCTTAGTTTGGATAATGGTTTGTCTGTCTCGTGGTTGATTTCTCAAAGAACCAATTCTTTTTTTCTTTGGTTCTTTGTATCGTTTTCTTTGTTTCTACTTTATTGATTTCAGCCCTCAGTTTGATTCTTTTCTGGCATATACTTCTCTGGAGTGATTTTGCTCCTTTTTGTTCTAGAGCTTTCAGTTGTACCGTTAATTCTCTAGTGTGGCTATTCTCCAGTTTCTTCATGTGGGTACTTAGTGCTATAAACTTTCCTCTTAGTACTGCTTTCAAAGTGTCCCAAAAGTTTGGGTATGTTGTGTCTTCATTTTCATTGTGTTTTAGGAAGTCTTTAATTTCTTTTTTTTATTTCCTCCTTGACCCAGGAAGGGTGCAATTGCACATTGTTCAATTTCCATTAGTTTGCAGGGTGTCTGTAATTTGTGTTGTTGTTTAATTCTAACTTTAAACCACAGTGATCCAATAGGATACAGGAGGTTATTTCAATTTTTTTTGTACCTGTTGAGGTTTTCGATGTTGTGGAGTATGTGGTCAATTTTACAGAAAGTTCCATGTGGTGCTCAGAAGAAGGTATGTGTTTGGATGGAATGTTCTATAGATGTCTGTTAAATGCAATTGGGTCATAACTTCTGTTAGTTCTTTTGCTTCTTTGTTAAGCTTCTGTCTGCTGGTCCTGTCTAGAGGTAAGAATAGAGTGTTGAAATCTCCTACTATAACTGTGTGAGGTCTTATGTGTGATTTGAGTGTTAGTAATGTTTCTTTTATGAACGTGGGTGCCTTTGTATTTGGGGCATAGTTGTTCAGAATTGAGACTTCCTCCTGATAGATTTTTCCTGTGATGAATATAAAATGTCCTTCTTCATCTCTTTTGATTGATTTTAGTTTGAAGTCTAATTTGTTTGATACTAGGATACCAGCTTGTTTTTTTTGGGGGGGGGGTCCATTTCATCAGAAAATCTTATCCCAATCCTTTACTCTGAGTTAATGGCTGTCTTTGAAGTTGAGGTGTGTTTCTTGTTATGCAGCAGAAGGATGGATTTTTGTCTTCCTTTCCATTCGGTTAGCCTGTGTCTTTTTATAAGTGAATTAAGACCACTAATATTGAGGGAAATTAAGGACCATTGAGTTTTAATTCTTGTTTGTTTTGGATTTGTTGATGGTGGTGGTAATATGTGTGGATTTACTCCGCTTTTTTTTTTTTTTTTTTTTTTTTTGGTTTTTGGTAAAGTGAATGATTTATTGCCTATACTTCTGTGAGTTTGGTTAACTTCCTTAGGTAGGAGTTTTCCTTCCAGTACTTTCTGTAGGGCAGGATTTGTGGATATGTATTGTTTAAATCTGTTTTTGTCATGGAAATACTTGTTTTCTCCATATAATGATTGAAGGTTTGGCTGAGTATAGTAGTTTGGGCTGGCAACCGTGGTCTCTTAGTGTTTGTAGAATATCTATCCAGGACCTTCTGGCTTTCAGAGTTTCCATGGAGAAGTCAGGTGTGATTCTGATAGGTTCGCCTTTATATGTTACTTAAACTTTTTCCTTTGCTGTTCTTAATATTCTTTCTTTATCCTACATGTTTGATGGTGAGGGGCTTTTTTGTCCACTCTATTTGGTGTTCTGTAGGCTTCTTGTACTTTCTTTGGAATGCCCTTCTTTAGGTTAAGAAAGTTTTCTTCTATGATTTTGTTGAATATGTTTTCTGCCCCCTTTGAGTTGGCTTTCTTTACCTTTTTCTGTACCTATTATTCTTAAGTTTGGCCTTAGGTTTGGTGTCTC